ACAATTATTCTTCTTCGATCATGAGTTTAGACGGATTAAATGGTTGAAAATATTTGAGGTTCATGTCTTATGTGAAACCTTTCAATTTAATTACCATATATGTGGCACTAGATAGCTTTACTCTCTTTAAAAAATCAAGTATGTGCTTGTTTTGCAACCATCCAAGAATTAGTCTTTGTGATTAATTCCTTTTTTTAAAAAAAAATTTCACTCTATGTTGTTTGATAATGTTAGCTTCAATTAATGTTGTTTATGTTGTTGATAACTTAGGGGGAAGGCATTTTTAAAAACTACACTTGGTTGTCTCTTAAGCTATGATTAAAAAAAATTGCTAGGTCATTTTAACAATTGAAGTTTAAATCTGCATGAATGTGACCATATGTGTTTAATAGATATAGCTTCAATTGTCTTAAATAAAATTGGTTGTGTAAAATCATATGAGTCTCCATAATTAATTAAAATAATTTCACACCGTATAAATCAACAAGGGTTTACGAGCGTGAGGATCAATCTGGTATGTATTTATATGGGTTCCAAAGGCTCATTATTAGAATTCACTATCTTTTATAATCTAAATAATTTATTTAAGTTCCATGTGAGATTTCCAAATTTTCGTAGGGACTTAAATTAATCACATTATCGTGTGGGATAATAAGTCCTTGCAGATATAGTGATTCTCAATTTCTATAATAAATAAATGATTTTGCAAATAATCATATAATACAATTTAGAAAATTAATTAATTAAATTAATGTATTTAAATTATAATCACATTTATCAATTATATCTTTTAGTCATGAGAGATTTTTGAATCTCCGTAGACTTATAAGATAATTATATTATTGTATGAGTCAATAAGACTCTGCATATATAACGATTAAGTTTTTAAAATATATATATACATATATATTATATAATTAATTAAATCAATTAATTAAATTTAATTCCTTTATCGTGTGAGGTTTTGGAATCTCCACAGATATTCAGGATAATCATATTACCATACAAGCTAATAAGGCTTTGCAGGTATAATGATTAAGTTGCTTTGAAACATATATATACACACTTAAAATTACTATTAACACTTAAAAATATACATAAGAATATAAGTAAATAAATTAAATTATCAAACTCTTTTATCATGTGAGATTTTGGAATCTCCGTAGATATTTAGAGCAATTGCATTACTGTATGAACTAATAAGGTTCTGCAAGTATTGTGATTAAATCCTCAATTACAAAGAAAAGTAATTTTAAACCCTTTCCTTTCTTTATTCCAAAAATTTAAAAATGGAAAAAATAATTAAAATTAAATTACCTTTTGCAATTTAAAACACACATATCAAAATTTTAAAAATAGTTTTATTTGCAAAATGGTGATTTATTTCTAAGTAATTTCTCTTTAAAAAAATATTTTCACCAACAAACTTTTAAGTCCGAACTATGTGGACTTTGATCCCCATCACAGGGTATGTAGGCCTCAGAGTTAGATTCTGAGTCAAGTCCATCCTCCTTCGTAAATAGATAAATATTTCTCACATAATTCTTATCATTTTTGAAACACATGAATATAAAAGGAATAATTAAAATAATTATAAAACTATATTAAAAGAGCACAACAAACTTTAGGTAACCGTTCTGATGAATGGATGTTGTGAGGTGCCGAACACCTTCCCCACACTCAACAGACTCTTGAATCCATTTTCTGATTTTGTAGACCACCCTTATCTTTCTTTTAATCAGTTTTTCGAGATTTCCTTCAAAATCTTGGTGGCGACTCCTTGTTCCGTTAGGTTCCTGCCGCGAAGGCCGGGACCTTCGCTCGCGCGCCGTCCACGTCGCATTTTCGGGTGCGAAAATGCCAAATTTGACTCAAGTGCGAGTCATGTCCAACCCGGAGAAAATGAAACGGAATTGGATGCTGCATCTCCATAACCTCTACTATCTTCATAACTATCTATACATTATAATAAGTGTTTGTAACTTTCATAAGATCCTAATAAGTGCTTTTAAGTACTTATAAATCCCGTAAACCCCTCCATTTAGAATTAAGTTCTTCCATAACCTCTCCATTAGCATTAATTTCTTATCTACTTGAGACTAGTATAAATAACCCTCATTCCATTGTAATCAAAATCATGAAAGAATAATACAATTTTTTTTATTAAAGTGAGAGTATTCTCTCTTTTCTCCCTTGGCTCCCGAGCCAAAATCAGTAATACAGCCCATACTAATTTTTATGACTTAGTATCACATGAAAAATCTTTTGCAGAAAAAAATTATGAACTACAAATATAAATAATCAATTTAATTTTTGTTATAAACCTATGACATAATCTGAATGTCTGATTATTTGTACCTAATGTATGTTTCTACAATTTTCATTAAATGAACATTTGCATTGACATAGCCATGCATCCAACCTGCCAAGAAGCGTGTTTTAACAATTTTGAAGTCACCTCAAAGCAGAGAAAGTTAATTGATTATTTTTAGAAGCATTTTCTAAATATGTTTTATTGATTTATTATCATCAGCAAGACACTTACGAAGTCCAAGAAAATCACCTTCATTATCAAAATTGCGTGTCATCACATAGAAATTTAACCAAATAACTATTTTTAAAAAATAAAATTTATTCATTTTTTTTGCGTAAGTTTATAGTGCAACTGATGCAAAAATATGCGAAGACTAATTTTTTAAAACAATTTTTAATTTTTGCATTTGGTTTAACATTACAAGTTTACAACTAATGCAAAATACAATTTCTACGTCACCTTAAATACAACAAAAATGTTAATTTAATGGACACAAAAATTAGCTGAAGGCATTCTGTGATTGGACCTGTGCCATTATGATGATCGTAAGGGATAACCATGACTGTCACTCTTTCGTATTATTATTGACTCTGCAAGGAAACTATGCAGGAATGGGCATGGAAAGCTTCATTTTTTATTATTTATAAAAAGGAAAATAGGGATTTACTTTGTCTTGTCTGTAATTTACTTTGAGCTCGTTTGGTTATTGGAATGAAATAAAGATAAAAGAAACGTGTTGATAGAAAGATAAAAATTATAGAGAGATGGCGTGGATTGAAGATTTTATTCATGGCAATCTTCATTCACGCCCCTTTATTATCCCATAGCTTTAATTTTCCTGTTGTCTCTATCTCCCTGTCATTCTCCAAGTTTATTTTAGTTCATTTTGCTCTCTATAAATCATTCTGTTTAATTTCTCTCCAATAACCAAATGGTCCCTTTGTGTTTTAATGAATGTTCTCTAGTATTATTCAAAAAAAGAAAAAAAAATACATTTATAGGTCTGTATACTTTAATTGCGTTTAATTTTTAATCACTATTATTTTATTTCGTTGTTCTTAGTCCCTTTAGTTTGATTTGTTAGTTCTTATAAATTTAAAAATGTACATAAAGATTATGAGTTTTTTCTTTTGGACCTGAATAAGGATTATGGATTGGCATCAACAAAGTTAATTTTGCAAACATACATTTAATTCGATTGACCTTTTTGTTGACGTGTACTTGCATTCATTTCCCACATTCTGATTAAGTTAAATATATAAGAAAGTTTTCTTTTCAATTTACTTTTTATTTTTAATCATACTTGATTAATTTATTTTCATGTTATCAGTATATTCTTACTATGTCAGCAAAAAGCTTAGCAAAATTATAATGAAATTATCTCTATCAATGCCATCCCATGGTCCTTAATTTTTGTGCATTTGTGAAATTATAGAGGCTATTGATTAAACTAAAGCGATTAGAAATAATGGAATGAAATTTTAAGAACTAAAAACAAAATGCAATAAAAGTACAAAATTTATTGTTGTGTTTTCCCCAAAAAAAAAAAAACACGAAGAAAGAAAGAAATAGCTGAAGGCACCAAATGTGCGTGGACTCGTGTCTTCGGCCATCTATGCATAAAACCAGTGCTGGTTGAGTCATCCTTCATTTCATCCAGCATCGGTTGAGCTGTACATATAGTCTCATTACTGTTGATGAATCATTCAATGGTGTCCATTTTGAGTACAAACCTTAGGCCCAACTTTTGACCATGATAATGTCATCATTTTGAAAAACTCAAAAAATGGAAGTTGCAACTAAATGTTTTAGCTTTTCAACTCATTTTGAATTAGAGATCATCATTATCATATTTTAGCTCAAATTAATACATGCATGTCACGGCCAGATCTTCATACCGATTTTCAAGGTGTAAAAATTAACCAAAGAGAAAGAAGAAGACTTGGCCAATGGTTTACTTAGCAAATCATATTATGTGCAATTCTTTGGAACAAAACTGAGATTATATGATTAATTAAAGGTTAGTCTCAAATTCTCGATATTTTAAAGTAATAAAAACCTTATTATTATTTTCAAACTGAATTATATGATTAATTTTCATATAGTTTTAAATTAATACTTCTTACATTTATATCACTCTGCAAGCGCGGGGAAGATCATGAGAAGTTTCTTCAAAACTTCACTGAAACACGTGTTGGGGCACACGATGATCAAAATCAATAGATGGCAAGTGTTGAACTTTTCTCATACATTATAAATCGTCACAAACTGTTCTAACTTATCCATATAGAGTACATACACCTATCTGTTTCCACGTGCTTGCTCTTCTCCACCATTATTTCTTCTCTCTACCATATCAGTTCAAGCTTTTAGAACAAAATATCATCTTTCTTTTGTATCAACCCTCGTCTTACAATTCGTAGTATACACAGGCCAAAAATATGCACGGTGGCCAAATGAATATGAAATGGGCTGTAGCTGAGTGTATTGGTATGAAGCTTTAAACAATCTTCATTCATGGTTTCTATTTGTGTTTTGAATTGCAAGATTTCTGTGCTGATCATAATCTTGGTTTTTCAGAATTTTATTTGAAATCGTAACCTTCTTTTAGTTGCTTTCCTCTTGCCTGTGTTTCTTGGTGAACAAGAAAATTTACAGATATTCTGTTCTATTTTGATCTTTCCAGTTGTTGGGACTGTGATGATAATTGCTATTATAACAATAGCATACGCCATTCTTCAGTGCTTGAAGAAAGTAGGAACAATAATGTCAGCTTATACCCAGATTCCAACCACAGATAGAGATAATGACAACAATGATTCAATCTCACAACCTTCAGACAGCAACAAAGAAATCGAATTAGCAATGCCTTCAAATTTGAAAGTGAAGTTTGCAACTATGGAAAGATTCCTCAGCAACATCAAAAATGAAAAACCCATCAGATTCTCACGTGAGGAGCTTGAAGAAATCACAAAGAGCTACACCACTGTTTTGGGTTTTGGTGCTTATGGGGTGGTTTATAAAGGTGAATTGTCAAATGGAGAGAAAGTTGCAGTGAAAGTTCTCAACAGTTTGGATCTGGGCACAGAGGAGCAATTTAAAGCAGAGGTTAGCACTATTGGAAGAACTTACCATATCAATCTAGTTAGGCTTTATGGCTTCTGCTTCCAACATGACAAGAGAGCTCTTGTATATGAGTATGTTTCAAATGGTTCTCTCAATAATTTATTATTTGGCAATCTAAACAAAAAAGTTGAGTTGGGGAAGCTTCTAGAGATTGCCATAGGGACTGCAAAAGGAATTGCTTATTTACATGAGGAGTGTCAACACAGAATCATTCATTATGATATTAAGCCAGAGAATATACTTCTTGGCCTGAACTTGGAACCAAAAGTAGCAGATTTTGGTCTTGCAAAGCTTTGTAGCAGAGAAAGAAGCCAAGTGAATATGACACACTTCAGAGGAACAAGAGGGTATGCTGCACCAGAACTGTGGAAGCTTTGTCCTGTGAATCATAAGTGTGACGTTTATAGTTTTGGTATCGTTCTCTTTGAAATTGTGGGAAGAAGAAGGCACTTTGATAGTGACTATAGGGAATCACAACAATGGTTTCCAAAGTGGACATGGGATATGATTGAGAACAGTGAATTACCAATGATGCTTTCATTATATGGGATTGAAGAGAAAGACATGAAAAAAGCTGAGAGAATGTTAATGGTGGCTCTTTGGTGTGTTCAATATTTCCCTTCTGATAGACCTCTTATGAGTAATGTGGTGAAGATGTTGGAGGGTGATACAGAAATTCTTCCACCACCATTTCCCTTTCAGAATTTGGTGTCTTCTAAACCACATTTGACTTCAAAGGGAACCAGTGAAGATTCAGATGTTTCTACTTCATATGTGACAGAATCTTCTACACAATTTAATACTGAACTCTAGTGCGAAATATAATTCACATAGAGAAGTCTACATAGAAGTATGTCACTTTGTATTAGTTTTGCACGAATGTCTCCCTTTAGCAACCCTTTTACATCTTTGACTTGCAAGATGTTGCATTGACTTTAGAGTTATTTTTAGAGCTCCAAAATGATCCAATTTTACCATATTAGCAATAGCCAAGTATGCATAAAAACAAGAATAATCAAGTTTTTCTTCTGACAGGACTATAAGCCTATATTTTAATCCTTAACAACCCCAATATTGATCCAAAGAGGTGTAAGCTCAAAATAGCTAGTGTCTATCAAAATAGTAAGCAAAATCATCTGAGGTCCATGACAGTTGATTTGAACACATATTTAATGAAGAGATCCAGATAAGGTCAAGGCTAACACAAAATACTAATTTTCATGTCTAGCAAATGAGTACCCTATAAAAATTAGTACCAATTAGGTTTCATGAGTCCATTGTTAGTTGTTATTAGTTTTCGATGTGGTATTTATTTGTAATTTTCTGATCAATTAACAATTAAAGTAAATTTTTGTCAATAGCAACATTTTATTATTTTCAAATGTTGAAGGGGAATATTACATCAAAAGTGAGTTTAGGGTCTCAAATGCTATTAGATTTATAGTTTAAAGGTAAAATTGTCCTTTAATCCTAAATTGTTTTTAATATTTTCATATTTTTGCCTGTTGAATATCTTAGGTTTCTGGTTAATCATAATGAATCATTAAATCATATTGTTTTGGAAAAAGCTCTTGAAAATAATTGGTTAGCTGCCATAGGAATTCAAAAGGATATTACTAAATGATGTCGCATCAGAAATCACTAACGCTATTATTTCATAGTGCTTTAGATATGCAATTTCAAAAATTTAATGATCAGTTAATCCAAACAAATATTAATAGTGGCAGGCCACATTGAAGGGAGGGGGCATATTATAAACTAAGAGTAAAAGTCTAAAAAATCTTGCACGCCTACTCTTAATATTTTGCACTCCTTTAAAATTTTAAATTTAATTCAAACTCATTTAAATCTTAATCTAGACTTAAAGTTGAAACTTTTTGAACTCAAAGTCTAATAAATTTTACCCCGAAATTTTAAGTTCACCATGCCAAAATACTAATGTTATTGTTTTAAAAATATCATTATTTAATATTTTCAAAATCTGATCCTTTAAAAGAAAAACTGACTTGGGTGGAAAGTGGAGTGTGAAAAACGCTGAAGAAGAGAGCTGTGTAGTGCGGGGAAGAGAAAAAACAAGAAAAGAGTGGATTTAAACAAGTCAAGAACCTATCTTTGTGGTAAGAAGACAGAGCTGAATTACAAACCAACCAAAAGACCAACAAAAGTCTCTTCCTTTTCAATTGAAGGCCAGGTTGGACCTACCACCCATGTTGAAATATTTCGTCAAGAAGAGTTCAATTTCAAGTTGTTTATTTTTTAATTGCCCATGCCCTCCTACCGAAAAAAAATCACATTCAAGGTATAGTCGACCAGTCATGTATTAAATATAAACACTCATCTCAATGAGAAATTAAATATTAATTTATCATGTTGTGAGAAATTAGTCTATTCAATAAATTCAACTCTCATTGATTCGAATTACTTATTTTATAACAAAACATCAACTAAAGATGGAGAGGCTCGTCATTAACTCATTGAGTTCCAATATGTGCCTCGTCAGCAGATTATTAGTTTGGCAGGAGAAAGATGGAGAGGCTCCACGCTTTCTGAAGCGGTTCCTTTCCTCCTGTTTCAGCGACTGCCTTGGGATTGCAATCCCTCCATAGATGAGTTCCTTAATTCGGGGCTCATCCCTTCTACTGTACCAAAAGAAAAGGGAATAATTCTTTGCTTGGCATCCCCACTTCCAGATTTCCTTTCATTCTACTCCATGCCCTTCACTCATCATTCCATCCACACCCTTCTCACCTCAATTTTACTTTTCAACATTCCAAACCATCACCTAATTTATTAGGGTAAAGAAACATTGTTGTTTTTAAAATATTTTTTGAAGAGCACCCAACGCTCTAACATTTTTGTTAGAGCAAATTTGTCCTTAACGTTATCAAAACAGAGCATTTGTGCCCTTTCCATCAAATTTAAATAAATTTGATGGAAAGGGCACAAATGCTCCGTTTTGATAACGTTAAGGGCAAATTTGCTTCAACGAAAACATTAGGGTGTTGGGTGTTTCTCGAAAAATACTTCAAGGATAAAAATATACTTTTACCCAATTTATTATGATGCTTAATTCCCAAAATTTTATCATCTTGTTATTTGAATTTATATGTGGCACATCCCTTTGTATATATAAATTTAATATCAATTTGATATCAATGTAAAGTGATGGCAAAGAAAATACTCCCTCCATTCAAAAATGTAAAGCATTTTTTGAGAAATTAGATATTAAAAAATATAAGGCATTTTTAATCTTTCGAAGTGTAATAAATGCCTTTTTTTTGAAAAGTGCCATATTGATGAATGACTTTATATTTATTATAGGGTGTTTAATAGAGGTAAATATAAAACGATAAGGTTAGTTTGAAAGTAGGCAACTACTTTATTAAGGGGTGAGATTCGATTAAAAATGTCTTAGATTTTTTAACGGAGGGAGTAATAAATATCAATGTAAAATATAAAAAATTTATTAACTTCTCTGTTTTTTCTGTATTTATTGTGTTTGTATATTTATAAACAAATCTCAATATACAAAACTCTATTAAATTTTGAAGCTATTGCACACAACTTTTCTTACTTTTAAAAGTTTAAAATTAATTTTTTTAACCTTTTATTTTTATCTTACCATAGATTCTCCTATTGTTAGTTTTTAGTTATTTTATCAATAAAAGTTATCATATCATATTAAAAAAGGACATGTAATAGTTTATATGGCATTTAATATTAGTTGAAATAACTTTATAAAGATTTTATTCATATTTTTTATTATTATTAGCTTACATTAAATGCCATATAAACTATAAGGTATCTTCTTTTAATGACATGATAATTTTTATTAGTGAAGATAATTAAAAAATAATAACAGGAGAGCATAAAAAAAATAAAATGTTAAAGAGGTTAATTTTTTTCTCTAAAGAAAAGGATAATTTTTATAATTTTATTTATTTGTTATAAATTTTTGTTAGCTTTCCTCATCTTAAAATTATAGGAAATTGTATTGAAAATATATGTATGTATTGATATTTACTATTCAATTATTTATATAGCCATTGTTATATCCTAAAATTTTTTAAAATTACCGTGTTTGCGTGTCATGCTGTATCGTATCCAATATTTATACCCGTATAGGTGTTTTATAGCTCAAGGGTTGAGTTGGCTTATCTCCAACTCTATCCTTGACCACCATTCTCATTCTGCACATTGTGATCCCATTATGAATTATATCTTTTTTTTCCCTTCTAGTCTTCATCAATTCTTAATGAACATGTCTTTAGCCACAAGAGACTCAAATTAATTTACAAGATTTGCCATCATGTCCAAAAACCAATTAAAACCTCATCTCTTTTTTTAAAGAAAGATCAAATTTTATTTAATTACAAAGAAAACGATTGCAGACACAAAGACCCATAAAATCTAAAAAAATTTCAGGGGTCAACAAAAAGACAACATACTGGAACAGAAAATATAACAAAACAAAAAAAAAATACTGGCCCAACATAAGATGAGCACTACAACCACAACCACACATAGAAAAGGCCAATTGAAAATAAGAAACCAGCAAACCAATAACTGCTGCTCTAGAAAGGAACTTGGGATGAAGAAAAATAAAGCTAGCGTATTGAATAGCATGGCAACATCATTTTGAAGAACGGTAAGCATGACGATGTAATGAGAGCTTCGAAGATGAAGTTTGAAACATATTTTCTTCTCCCAAAAGATTTGGAATACCTTTTGCATGGAATGGATATACAAAGAAGGAAGGGAGGCAACAAGTAGTTTAGCATTAGTGACACATTCTGAGAGGAGAACTTGAGATTGAAAGTTGGATGTTGTTTTACAATTTTTGGCAACATGACTAATGATACACTCTTTTCACTTGTTCTAAAACTAGTGACACCTTCATAATTTTACTATCAATCAGTTAAAAATTATTAAGATTGATAGAATTTAAATCAAATTCTGAAAGGAGAACTCAATCACACAAGCCATACCAATTTATAAAACTATTATCATCATAACAAAAAAAGGAAGGAAAACATAACTTTGAGTTCTTGTACTTTGTTTGAGTTTTGTTATAGGTCCTTATAACTTTTTTTAATATTCTAGATCCTTACACTTTTATTTTTTGATGTTCTGGGTCCCCACATGAGCAATGTTATAAGGATATAAAACACCCAAAAATAAAAGTATACAGATTTAAAATACTGAAAAAAATGTAAAGACTCATAGCAAAACTCGAGTAAAGTATAATAACACAAAATTATGTTTTTTGAAAAAAAAATTCCAATATATTCTCCCAATGTATCACACATACTTTATTGATCATATTATCTTATTGATTGAAATAAGATGCGAAAAATATGTTCACATAAACAACCATGCCAACTCACCCAACGTCAATTTTTATTTAAAAAAAAAATTATGTGCCAAGAACTTGCCCCAGTTTGGTTTAAAGAATTTAGGTCAAATGTCAATAATATAAGGAATAAATTAAAGAAACAAAAAGGAAAAGCAAACTCGATATATTAATTGTTGGAAAACACAAAGAAGATCATAACAGCTCCAAATCCTACTTAAGTTCTACCTCTGAAGATGGCTTAGAGAAGGAATTTTCCTCGTTATAGATCTCATATAAAATAGTAGTTAAAATATTAATATTTTAACATTTTAAATGCTATTCTTATTCATAAGTCCAGTTTCATAGTAGAATTTATTGTATTTTTAATTATTAAAAAAATTTAATATTAATTTAATAATAGTTGGGATCGTAATCCCAACAATTAAACCCATTCCATGGGGCGAGTCAACATTATTCA